GCAATGTCCAGACAAAATGCTCGACTTTCGCGAATGTAGATTGGAGACTTTGGCTAAGCCATTGCGCAAACGCAAACTCATACGATCATCTGTGGCTGAGAGGAACTCATGTCTGGGCCTTTCAACGCATAAAAATGGTAAAAACGACTCTTTGCAAAGGTTTCCAGGTCCGTATTCAGTGAAAATAATCGGAATACTTCCGCGCCCCGCCTCCCCCTTTCGAACTCCGCCTACTTGCGCGTATTTTCCACCGAATACGGACGCAAAAGCTTCGAAGAAAGCTCAACTTCGCCATTTCAAAGGCTGAAAAGTCCAAATATGGGTTCTCAAGGCGAGAAGGCTTCGAAAAGGTGAAAAGGAAAACGAAATTCTACCGGGACACTGCCTTTAAGGAGTTGTTTCAAAACCTCTAACCAGTTTGCACATAAAAATATGGACACAATGATTTGACCTGGGCACGATACTTCTCTTCTTGAGAACCCATATTTTTTTAAGAGCTTTTAAGAGTTTAAGAGCCCATAGCGCTAAAATTTTATACAAGGGTCGGCCATCGCGCGCCAGAATATTTTACAAGGCTATTTGAACTTCCAATAGTTTAAAAAGCATGTAAACTATTTATAGCTGTAAAGAATACTTGCGCAATATGATATTTCAGGTGTGCTACTTTCTAGATCTCGCAAACCATTCTCGAGGAAATGCGCCCCTCTCCCCTCAATCAGTCCTCTACTTTATTCACCTCAGAACAAGCACATGTGATACACATAACAATAAAGCGCACTGATCGTGATTATTTTCATACATTATAACAGTTGACTCAGCCCAAACAGTAAAATGTCAGCTGCGAAAACTGTGAAAGAATGAGATAGATGATCTTACCTACAACGGCGAGTGAGTGGAATAAAGGCTGATCTGCTTCATTTGCATTCAGCATATCGTATAATGTCTTCCACAGTTGGATAAATTGAACCTAGAAAAGGAATTATTAGAAACCTTAGAAACTCATCCATTTTGAAAGCATACCTGATTTATAGGCGGAAGCGTTTTGATTTCCAAACGTAAATTAGCAGCGCTTGGTGACAAAACGGTAGCTCGCAGATTTTTCAGTTTAGTAATGGAATCTTCCACTAATGACACAGCTTCTATAAACAAAACCTTCTTAATCATCTACAGGAATCTGTAATCAGCAAACTACACCTTCACTGGCTTCATCTGCGATTTGGATTTGTTCCTGACTAGAATCAGAAGAATTACTTCCACAAGACTTGGCAGCAATCAAGTCAAGCAAAGAGGATGCGCTCGATTTAGGATTGTCCACAACCACTGCACTATTGACCGTGCTCTCAAAAGACAGGTTCGAATTAAGAAAAAAATAATAAAAAACAATAAAAAACAATACAGAAAGTAAAAATGACAATCATAAAAAATCAATAAAAAAATCAACTATACCTACATAATGACTTACAATTTCACTCACGGAATCGCCACATTTCGAGGGACTACTCTCAGCAGATGCGCCCTCAGAAGATTTTGGAGGATCCAGCATATCCATTGCATCGACAGCAACCTCGGGGGTTTCACCTAGACAAGATACAGTAACGATACAGTAACCCGGATAAAAAACCTACCTTCCACGACCAACCAACCCTCTCGCACATCTTCCACAGAGGCTATGTCGTCAAGGTCAGCCATATTGAATGCAGGTGGTATATGGCATTTGTAGATAACTGCTAACTTTTCGGTAGCATCACCAAGTAAGAGTAAGGATAGGGTAAGGGCCAAATCACGGAATGTCAGTAGGCCACTGTCAGATACATCAAGTAACTAAACAAAACTTCGACTTCACAAAAAACACATCTATATGATGAACTTACCCTAAACAGGCGAACCACAAAATTAGAAGTGACTGGCCAAGGAAGTAAGCGTCTCATTACTTCGTAAAACAGATCGTAATCCAGCCTAAAAAGAAAATTGAGAATTTCTTCATTTGTCTTCGCAGCCAAGTCTTATTTACCTGTACTGAGATTGCGCACATGGATCTGGCTTTGGTCTTTCCGTAAGTGAAGCCGCTTGACATCTTGCTGTCACTCCAATTCGAAGTCGCCATGACAGAAGATGTTCTTCCTGCAAAAAATTGCTTAATGAAAAGAGAAAATGCTAAAAATCATATCAAAGTAAAACTTGATTCGGAGAGATGTACGTCAGCTACGATTTGACAAAAAATGTGATAGAAAACTGGACATGTTGCGGATAAGGATAACTATACAACGCGCTACAATTACAAGTATAATGAGTTCACAATGAAGGTTCAACAGTTCACTTTCTCAACGGTTATATTTCCCAAC